CGCGGGACACTCTCCAGTATAGCTCAATGGATCGCTGAGGTGCGCAAACCGTCACACCACGGTAAGGTCCAGTCTCTTCGTGACGGCAGTGCAGTGTGAAAAAGTGAACAGGACAGCTAGGTGTCAAAATTGATTCATCTCTGTGACAGAAGAGGACAGGATAGTTCCCCAAACCATCGAGAGCAAAAAACATTTTTTAGCTTGAGTGAAGGAACAAGACATGTGCTCCTCTATAATTTGCAATGAAGGCTCCATTTATGGAGCACTTACATGCCATGGGATCCACAACTTTTTTCTTTGTCTTAGTTGTCTTGTACCTATAAACTGAGCCCCAAAATACGAACGCGAATAATCTCTCAAGCGTCAGCAAACTACTTCTGGCGTCAAAAAGACATATCGCTGTGTCCAAAAGTCGCGTGCATTAGACTGCGATGCTGGATGTATTGTTGTACGACTGAGAGACCTGGCCACTTTGGATGAAGGATCTGAGAGACCCTCAGGTCTTTCACCATCGATATCTCAAACCTATAGCTGGAAATGACGAACTTGCAGCCAGGTGATCAGGAAATGTATTTCATAAAGCAGAAGGTACTTCACCTAGGAGATGTATCCGGCGTTGCAACGTAAGGTGGCTGGGCCATGTGCCACGCACGCCAAATTACCGTCTGCCGAGAAGAGGGTTGTTTTCCGTAACTAATTCGGAGTAGCAGAAACCTAGCGACATTACATGCAGACGATGCCGCTAAATTTGTATCACTCGTCTCATTATCACAAGGCTTGAAACGGTCTAATTTACGAATGGGGTGATCATGTGATACCTAAAACACAAAGTTTGGGTTTCTTTGAAATGTGATTGTGTCCATTTTCAACCGGACGGTCGTTCGAGTGTTAAGAAGCAAGACCATGGTATTAAGGGAAGATTCAAATAAATCCAACAGAGTCTCTCGTTTATGATATTCCTCAAATGAATGTGCTTCAAAAAGAGCTCCTCATGTTTCAGCTGGTACAATACTGGATACATCGAAGTATATTCTATTGACAAAACAGACTATTCATAAGGTCATTGGAAATGCTTCAACAGCCTATTGCCGACTAAGTTATTTTTGGGACTCACCAAGTACGACAATCCCCAGGAGTTTTCATCAGTTTTGGTTCTACTTGAAAAGAAACTTGTACGCTATTGGCGGAGTACACTCATTTGCAAACTAACCTGGTGTTGAAGAGTACCATGAACGAGAGATTAAGATGGGGCTCAGTTATTCTCCCGTTAAAACCAAATTGGTGTGCAATTGAGTACATTTCACTAATTGCGTACAATTTAATATTCAAGGTGAACCAAAATGGATGGAAACTCATGGACTACACATACCCGCTAAGCTCCAAGATGTCTTAGAAATGATGTCCCATCTAGGAAAGGCCTTATTAAGTGTATTCAATGATTTGGAAACTGTTTGGGACCGATTGAGTAGTCAACGTCCCAGAGAGATTTGGTAAACAATGATATTCCCAAATGAATGTGCTTCAAAAAGAGCTCCTCATGTTTCAGCTGGTACAATACTGGATACATCGAAGTATATTCTATTGACAAAACAGACTATTCATAAGGTCATTGGAAATGCTTCAACAGCCTATTGCCGACTAAGTTATTTTTGGGACTCACCAAGTACGACAATCCCCAGGAGTTTTCATCAGTTTTGGTTCTACTTGAAAAGAAACTTGTACGCTATTGGCGGAGTACACTCATTTGCAAACTAACCTGGTGTTGAAGAGTACCATGAACGAGAGATTAAGATGGGGCTCAGTTATTCTCCCGTTAAAACCAAATTGGTGTGCAATTGAGTACATTTCACTAATTGCGTACAATTTAATATTCAAGGTGAACCAAAATGGATGGAAACTCATGGACTACACATACCCGCTAAGCTCCAAGATGTCTTAGAAATGATGTCCCATCTAGGAAAGGCCTTATTAAGTGTATTCAATGATTTGGAAACTGTTTGGGACCGATTGAGTAGTCAACGTCCCAGAGAGATTTGGTAAACAACAAATCCACTGATTTTTCACCAAACTCCTCTTGGACTTTAATGAGTGTAGTTTATGAGCCCAGTGGATGACACGTGTGAATGCTAGCAGCACAATCACGTGAATAGCGAGCTTGAAATGGCAGGTGGAATGCTTTCACTAGAAATCAAAATGTGGTTTGAGACGCCTCAGTTTCTTGTTCCCTTCTCCGAACACAATTTGCAAACTGCAGTAATCGGACGCGAATGTCATCCAAGCTCCGAACTTGGATTCTAGGAGCAGCCTCCGGCAGTTTTTACCTTTCTCATGGTCGAATAAGGTAATGCAAGAGAAATAGCAAAAAAGGGACTATTCAAGCCCTCTTCCCAATGTTGTAATTTCGATTATATTTAAAAAATACAACTTGGGTCACTCTGGGGAGGTGCTTACGACGGAACTGTTAAGCTTTGGTTTGGAAACTCGTGGTGTTGGAACAACTTAGCGTCAGTGACCATGAGGATAGAGGAAACATGCGGAAGAAACTGAGATTGTTACCATTAGGTATGACTGATAGAGTTCATTGAAGCAGATGGATCTGTTGTTAAAAGCGAGACCAAATGCAGAATATTGAGACTGTTCGGACTCTGTTGAGGATCTATAAAGATGAAAATGAGGCACCAAAACTAAACTTCGCAAACATCTGGAGATGGGAGAAACGCACTGAGATTTCCAAAGGCAGGTTAGGCGACCAGGTACATTTGAGCAGCTTACAAGCCGTCAGTGATTCTCCAAGAGGTCGAAACACTAAGGAAGCGTCGACAACTTTGTACTTCTTTCAGAGAGCCGACAATATTTTCATCAAACAACTTCGTGATGTATGTGCATGGGCCTAAAGTGGCAATAAAATGAAGTTTTCTTTGTCTTTCCGGAACTCAAGATGACTCAGCGGTTAATACACGAAAGACCGGACCGTATTACCCGATTACCACCATCTAGACTTTGGCAACCTGGCATTATCTCCCTTACATCCTTCGAGTTGCACGGCATTTATCTGCCGAGAGGAAGTCACAGATAAACCAGTCATTAGCCCTATTATTTGTTATTATTAACCTTGTTCGCATATAAGCGTATCAGATAAAATCAGGAATCGGCATCTTCAAATAATGAGAGAAACTAAGAAGCCTGAGACACCGGGTCTAGGGACAATCCTCCGTGAGATAAAACGAGGGAGTCAAACGGAATTAGATAAAAATTACCGTCCCGTATTTTCCTTTGTATTTCCCCAATACGGCCTGACAATGAGCTCCTGTAGTCCATTCCAACTTCTTCTTAGATTCATCGTTTTCCTCCGGCTTCGGCGTTTGTAGGACTCGCGGATCTGCACCCAATCCGAGCCCTTTAGGGCGAATGGAACCGATAGGTTGCCTGTGAAAGTAGTAAGTCAAGGGTAGAATGAGTAGCTACCCAGTTGCCGACTTTAAGTCTTCCGGATTGAAGCCCATCCCAGCCAGGGCAGCTAGACCGAACGATTCCACCGGAATCGCCTCGTAGTTTACTTCTCCGGACTGAGAAAGGTAAATATTAAACTGGAGCAACCTACCGCATCCGAATCTACAAGTGCACTGGGCAGCTGAATATGCAGGTTCGCTTTTGCGTCTGGACCTGAATCACCTCTGGCCTCTAGTCTCTCATGACCCCATAATCGAATGGAAACTTACCGGCCGCTAGTTCCTCCAACGCCTGTTGAGTGAGCGCATCTGTTGTGGAAGTGGCTGAACGAGTTGCAGCTTGCATTCGTCTCCGAATCCCATGTTTACTATGAATCAAGGGGATGACTAACTGTGTGGGAGCTGGATTGGTGGAGCTGTGTGAACACAGTAAGGGAGTGGGAGTGAAAGACCTACTGTATGACATTATCCTCGATGGCGGTAATATATTCGCGTATCTCTTTCTTGTTTATTTGTGCTTCACGTTTCTGTACAGCAGTAGCAGGAGTCTGTAACAGTGGTTTCTTTTGCTTGCTGAATGTGAAGGAAAACTTTGGGGCTTCCGCACACATTACGATAACGTTATTTGTGAAGCTGATGAATAAAGGAAAGTCAAGGTATAGCTAGGAGGGGCAATGGACTCAAGCCCTATAGCGAACGAAACGAGTATAACATACAAAAATGTATACATGTACCCCTAACATGGAACACATGGAACACACATGAAACATCACACAAACCAAAAAACACTATGGCAACTTCTGAAAATTAATCGTCCAGGGACTTTAGTGAATGCGAAAGGATTTAAGCTTTTCAAAATAGGATTGCCTGGTTAAGGAGACTTCCTTGGAAATCTGCCATGCGACGCGAGTAAGTAGAAGGCCCAAGGTACCTACCAAACCCATGAGATCGAAAAACCAGGAGTGAACTAGAGCCATTGATCGCAATCGAATTGCCCACCTCAGCGAAAACACAAACGACTAGCTATGCTAGCTGAGCTCCAACATTCTTGTCAATAGCAGATTTTACTGCATTCTCATCCATAAGGAGAAGTGTATGGCAAACGGCCATTTGGGTTCAGCAATCCTATTGATGCTCGACAAGTATATTCGTCGTAGTGTATGTGCACGGAACTCCGCGACCACTTCAAAATTCTTATGCTGTGGCGCTTTTCAATACGTTTTCTAGAACCGCGTAAGGTGCGGAAAAATCGCTTGGCAACTGGAAGACTGGGAGATCCGGATGATAGATGAACTTACCAGAATAGTCTTTTAGAGTCTCCTCCGAGGGTTCCACCATCAGATGCGAACCCATACTGCGACAAGATTGCCAGATTTTTGCATAGTGCTGGGAATTTCGCCTGTGGCACGGCACCATCAGGCTCACTCAAGCACTGGATATCAGACCAAACGATGACACAGCTTAAATCTTGAAGAAATATCCAAGTCAGTCCCGAACATAGCCTGGAGCGACAAATTATCAGACGTCAAGTGAAAGTGAGCATGCGATCCGACCATGAAGTACGGTGGACAAACAAAGCGAAGGAAATGGAAGAGGCCCAGAAGGTCGGTAATGCCCGAAGATTATTTCAGTTGATCCGTGAGACCGGTTCCCGGAAACCATCATCAAGGATCGGAAAGGAGTGACTATCTTGAATAAAGAAAGCCTCGATCAGTGGCCGAATACTTCGAACAACAATTGTTGTGGCCACCAGCCGCAACGCATCTGGAGCTGATGTAGAACCCTGGACGGTGAGCGTGGAACCACCCACGGTCTTAGAGGTTTACGAATGCACATGTTCTCTCAAGCGCCACCGCGTTTATGGTCCGGTTGACCTCCCATCCGCACTGTTGAAAGATGGACGTCAAGTCCTCAGTCAGCGCTTGTCTGATCTGTTTACTTGCATTTTGGAGAAAGGAGTCTGTCCCAGATAACTGAGGAGAGTCGATGATAGTGTCCATTTTAAAAAAAGGCTCGTAGCGAGTGTGGCAACCACAGGGGGTTAGCTTGACCCCCGTCGTAACGAGACTGTCTGCGTCACTGATGCTTCGTCGCCTTATGGTGACCCGTGAAACGCTGACTCGAAAAAAGCAAGCAGTATGTAGGCCTAACAGTGGTTGTGTTGACTAGATCTTCACAATTCCTGAGGTGCTAGAACAACGCCATACGTATAAGCGACTCACAATTCTAGTATTATTGGATTCCCAAGGCGCATTCGACTCAGTTGACCGATCTGTTCTGCTTGACACGGATGCCCACCAAGGAACGCCCCGGAAGTTCGTGAACATAATAAGCTCTTTGTATTCCAAGACTTCCGGATGCGTGAGAGTATACGGTGAGCTCTCAAAAAGCTTCCGTACGCAAACTCATTTGTCAGGGATACCCACTCTCCATATGCCTGTTTAACTTCATGATCAACGAAATCATGAGACGAATGCTGGAAGGTCTTCAAAAACCCCGGTGTTCAAGTAGCCTTTGAAGAAAACCTTGTCGATCTGGAATATGCAGATGACCTCGTCCTCATCTCCTAAGAGGAGGAGAAGGCGCAGGTGTTTTTGGATGAACTGACCAAAGTCCTTTGATGTGAACTTTGCACCTACAAAGTGTAAGGTCATGCTCCTGGACATTCAGCCACTAAAACATCACTTACAACCCAGGGGAAATCACTGGAGCGTTTACGTACCTTGGAAGCTGTATTAGTTCTGGTTGTGGTGTGAAGGATGAAGTCAGTGCACGAATCTGCAAGGCTCGGGGCGCGTCTGCTAATTTGAGACACCTATGGCGTCAAAATGGTTTATCCCTGAATCTGAAGGGACTTGTGTATCAGGCTACAGTACAGGCTGTTTTGTTGTATGGCTATGAGACCTGGCCTATTCGAGCAGCGGAACTGAGGCGTCTTTATGTGTTCAACAATTGTTGCCTCAGAACCATAGCTTGTGTGAGTTGGTGCCGGCGTATCCGCAAAGAGGCAATTAGAAAGCGAGTTTTCGGTTGTGCAACGAATACCTCCATTGAAGAATGTATTCAGCACCAGAAGATGCGTTGGTTGGGACATATGTTGCGTATGTCAACCATCGCTTGTCGAAGAGAGCGCTGTTTTCACTGCCCAAGTCAGAGTGGTGGGAGCAGAGGGGTGACCAACCTTTGACTTGGCAGAGAAGTATGAAACTGCCCAAGTCACAGTGGTGGGAGCAGAGGGGCGACCAACCTTTGACTTGGCAGAGAGGTATGAATGAAATCATGAAACGTTTGGATGCTGTCGGTGCTACTCGCCTCCCAGGATGGAGACCGCTTGACCCTCACTGCGCTTGGTTGGAGGCGCTGCACGATATGGCTGCCAACCAATGTCAGTGGTGACCTTATTGTCAGTTTCTATCCAGATTGGCCGGATGAGTGTTTGGGGGTATATGCGCCTCTGAATGATTGTAGTCCGTTCCCCTTCCACCTTTATTCTTTTCTTCACAATACTTTCAAATAGATCATGGTTGTAAGGCAGCGAAGCATTGCTGTTGAACAATGATGTCATGCTGCCGATGATGATGATGGTGATTTATGCTGTGTCCGTAGGGGCCGTGCACACCAGAGGGCATTGGTGCTTCACTGCCATACAACTATGTCAATCTACTTGAATAAAGCTTCATAGTGGAGAGAAATGAAACAGAGCGGGCCTGGGGTTAGCCTACGACAAACATCCAAGGTACATACACCCTCGGCACTCAGATAATAGGGATGAGAACTGATAGAATGAACGCATGACTGTTAACCGCCATATCGTTCAGTCTCCAGCCAAACGCAAGGAGGTGAATGGTACAACGACACTCAAACTTTTCGTAACAACCTGCGTTCCCTTCTGTCATGTCAAATTCTGTACACACATAATTTTGCACAGAAAACGTCGGTCGTGTCCACAGGCGATACGTCAACATACGTAAAACACGGCCACAAATCTGATGATGGGTATAGTATGGATCGTGGAATTTTATCTTTGTTCAAAGCCAGGAGTTTTTGCATGATCGAGTTCAAGCTACTAGGCTTGTATTCTAGATGTCCCATTATTCGACTCAGAAGTAAAACACTCACTCATCGTATAGACTCAAAAACCCCAGATAGCTAGACAGGTTCTGGGAAGACAGTTTCATGAAACTTGCACTTTACTTCAACTTGCCTAACCTCATTATCATCTCAATTTACCCCTCCTCATACATTTTCATATTAGCCCAACCAATGATTAAATTTGTAAGCAACTTATTCAGATTGATTGATTGAGTGCTGGAGGTATAGACCCATTAGATGTTTGTGGTAGGCTAGCCATAGGTTCCCCTCCCTCCACCACTTCCTCCTACTTTCGATTATAAGACTTTGTGGAAATAAACTGGTATGGCATTACTGGCGTTGCTGTCAATGACGGTGGTAATAATGATGATAACGATGATGAGAACTGTGACGGAGTATTTCAAGGACAACTATCACGAGGGTGCCACAGCTTTCAAAGGTATTTCAATGAACACACTCGGACATCTTACCCCGTAAGAAGCTCCCTTTTCGAAACTCACTTATCGCGGGCAGAGCATACAACGACCAAGAAAATTTGGCTAGCAGCACTCTCGCCCTTGGGAACGAGTAAGCACCATGCCCTGTAGGCTTTCCAGTTGTGTGTACGAGAAAGTACGTGTGCAACAGCTGGGAAGCGCCAAGACTCCGTATCACTCTACTTGGCAGCGGCTATTTTCGTTTCGTATTACCATGTCATGGGTTGCCGAGATGTGACTAGAACGGTATCTGGGCATCCAAACCACCGCAAGAGGGTAGTAACGGGAGAAACCAGTACTGAAGGGATGACGAGATCCTGAGATAGTTTACAATACACTTCTACCTCTTTCATCACTCACATCTGGGACCCGAATGCTGCCGGCTGTTTCTTCAAACACATGGCGCTAAACAGGTGCCCAAAATGTACCTGAACGAAAGAAGGTTTTGAAAATTTACACAGTTCAGCCTTTTACAGCACATAGCGGAAGAAAACAGACTTCACGTTGGAGAAATAGAATTGTCAACGCGGGCCGACGAAGCTGTAGAAACAGCGGTTATTGAAATCAAGCCTCATTCTGGAAGTGAAGAAAATAGTATGAATGGGTGGAGGACCGCCCACTAACTTCACTAAGCTGTAAATGACCATGTGAGCCTCTTCTCATGACATGTGATTTTGAGGAGCACCTCACGATCTACATCAAAGGCTTAGTCCTTTTCGGTAGCTATGAACACACCGAGCATTGACACGATATAACAATCGTTAATTCACCGGCTCCTTGAATTCTTATTCGGAACGAGTTGCTATGCTCGATCCGAGAGGTCACTTCACAGACAGACCCTTATTGCCACTGTGGCACAAACCGGGAAAGTCGCTCTGTTTGGATTTGGTGGCTTCGGACCTCAGGTCTACAGAGTGCGCATAAGACAGAAGCATTACTAGGTTACGCTTTCAATTGAGTCTCCTTGAAATCCGGTGCTT